GAGCAATAATAATTTAGTTCTTATACGGTTTACTATGGCTGCAGCATTTCTTAGCCGTCTCAGCATATTTTCAGCTCCAGTATTCTCTGGGTTTATTTTACATAAATGAAAGCATTGGAATATGCTTGTTTAAATAGTTTACTTCAGATAACGCTCAATATTTCCACAGAGCAAATCTATTCTATCGAAACGAAAGTGCTTTATAATTTGTGCACAAGTCCAGTCTATCTATTATTTAAAAATATCCTGCATTAACTACACTTTCTAATCTCCATCGACGTTTTCCCTTTCAGATTTTTCCTCAACACTTTGGGCACAACATAGAGAACAAAATATGAGCAGACGACGAAGTACAATCATGGGCAGCAGGAGCTGTCGGAGCAGTTGTCAATTGACCGGCATTGCCTGTGTGATGGCCCTGCTGCAGCTGGTGACACCCGGCCAGGGACACACGCATCCCGTGCTCACATACAAGAATGCTTCGACGCAGCTGGGCCAGCTGGTCACATCGAGCACTCTGGTCTGGGAGACGTACGATCCGAAGGACTCCAAGCAAATGCAGTCGGCTGTCGAGGGCGGCAAATACATCTCAGATGAGGAGCACTATCCCATCTACGTGTGCCGCGTGACCATCGATGGAGTGCGCACCTCTGGCCACACCGAGAAGAAGCAGCAGCGGCACGTCTGCGTTGCACCGCTCTTCAAGCACGCCATCAATGAGAACTTTGACGTGCTGATGAACCGTGGACACCTGGGCAAGATCGCTTGGAAACATTGGACGAAGTTCAATGCGGGCATCCCGGTCGGCGCCATTCTCATTGGCGACGAGTCCTTCATAGCGCGCCATCGTGCGGTGCACCCGGCGAACGCTGAGGGCGGCGAATCGCACCGCGGTGCGGACTACAATTTGGGGCGACTGGAGCCCGTGGGTCTGGGCAAGATCAAGGTGGCGGAGAACGATCGGGAAAAGTACTATGACGATGGCGAAGTACTCGTGGAAACGGAGCCCTTCAGCTACGAGCTGCGAGACATCAAGCTGGACCGCCTGCGCACCAGCCTGCGCGAGAATATGACAGAGCTGGGTGAGTGGAGAGAGATTTACAGTTGCCAAAGTATCAGCTAACTAAGAGGGATTCCATTTCTCATTTTAGCCAGCAGCGTTCTGGAGAACCGAGGCGACACCTACGCCACTATGGAGAAGATAATTAGCTACAGCTTTGACTATCTGCAGTACTGGGGCTCGCATGAGGGCGTGGCCAAGGGCCTGCCCACAAAGATCTATGAGAAGAATGTGGCCACGCCCGCAGAAATCAATTGGGCTCTGAAACGTAGTGAGAAGCGGCACGAGAATAAGGCCGTGTTCAGCAAGCTCTGGCCAGGCACGGCCATCAATGTGACGCTGCTCGGCAACTATGTGACTCTGGAGGCGCCCTACACCGCAAAGCTGTCCGCTTTCTACTACGACAGCGAAAGCGTTTCCCGCAAAATCAGCGCCGAGGTGAGTCTGCCAGCATACCTTTACGAATTCCGTTAATCTGGTGCTTCCGCTGCAGGTGCGCAAGAGCTATTTGAAGGACGTGAAGATGGAATTCAGTCCCGTTTATTGGATTGAGAATGGCACGCTGGTGCCAACGACCACCACCACGTCAACCACATCGACTACGACACATGCGACCACAACCAGCACCAATGAGCCCACGCCCATACATGAGCCGCCCATGGTGCGAGTGGAGCATGTGGGCGATAAGCATTCCGGACCCGATTCGCTGGAGAAAACTTTGAACGATTCAACCTCAACGAACGAGGTCAACTCACATGAAGCACCAGAGAACATGTCCTCCAAGGATGCAGCGCTCGCTGGCTTTGGAGTAGGCGGCAGCAACAATGCGATAGCCACAATACAGGCGACAGGATATGCATTGATGGCGCTCGTCTCGATAATGCTGTTGAATCTGTAGATGGGCTTTGGGAGGGTCTCCCTCGATTAGCATAGCGTTTAATTGTTGTTGTTGTACCTGTTGTACCCGTCTTTGAGAGCGTGTCGTGTCTCGTGAGCACATGTAGCAGACACAGGCCCCAAAATGGAAAGATAGGCAGACATAATTAATAATTGATATATAGGACGCCACAAACGAACAAAGAACGAGACGATAACCGGTTAGCTTTCTGTGTGGGTGTTCAGTGGATATTAGAGGCGAACAAAAGTTGATATTTTTTATACTGTCCCCCAATGCCTGCTTTTTCTTATATATACATATATATACCGTAGCGAAAACAAATTTTAGGAGAGAAACACAAAACATTCCTAAACAAGCCCCTCACAAAAGGAAATGAATCAAAAGTAAATTTACATTTATATATAGTATATATATCTTGTATACCGATAAACAATATTTAACAATTTTTAAGCTGCTTTGCATATTTTTTTGTCTAATTTTGTGGCTTTTTTTTAGAGCTTAGTTTGTTAAGCGCAAAAGCATTCACAATAAGCTGTAGTAAAAGTAAATGAATTAATTGATTGGGCGCCTGATATAGAATTGCTATAAAAAAGATAAAGATATGTACGTTCTATGATATGATGTATATGTATATGTCTAAAATGTAAAATCTATGTAAAACATAAGTAATATATATATATTAATATATATATATATATGTACACATTTAAGTGAAAACACTCCAAATATGTAAATTAATTACTAATTTTATTTTGTTTGTCTGTGTCCTGCGTCCGATACTCCCTACACTTCAGCTTTATTTTGCTCGAATTCTTTATCCTAGTTTAACATACGCATGTATCTTGTATTTTGTTTTCGAATAAGCAAACAAACAATTCTACAATTTCATTTAAAGTAAACAAAAAACAAAATGAAAAAAATAAAGCTTGTAAATTAAAATTGTTTGAAAACCTGTGTCAATTAATATACTTTTACCGATTGGCAGTTAATAATTAACACTTGTGTTTAATTGCTAGTTGAATTTCAATTTTCTATATATATATTTTTTTTTTGAGTTTGAATATTTTTTTAAACCACAGTTGATTTTCTTTAGCATATCAATTCTACATTTTCAATACTTAATTTAATGCATAACCTGAGTTTAAGCCCCAGCATTCAGATTTGCCTATACAAAATATTTATTCGACTTGTTCTCAATCTTGTCTGAATTGAAATTAATTCTAAATTATTCCATAAACAAGTTTATCTCAAGTCAGCTGATCAAATTGCTGTCGATGCGATATAATTTGATATGATATGTTCGTATGCTGTGTAAACATTTGCTTGCCTTGTACTTCAGAATGTTTACAGAACTTGACATTCGTTAGTTAAATGTAGCTGATGGATGAGGTTTCTGCTTTGCTCACGATAGAGGCTGTCGGCTACATGTGAAGTAAATGCTTAGCCCAAGGCTAATTCTAATAAACTATCAAACTGTGGGAAAGGAAGTCGTCTTAAGTCATCGTCAAACTCAATTAATACTACGTTTAGATATTTTGTGATTTCTCTGCACTTGAACACGCCAAGTGACTGTCTGTTGGTAATAAACTTGTTTAGTTTTAATTATTTATTTTATTGCCTTTAAGTTAGCCATAACTGAGGCGGCCTTTTAACGAGACTTCAATACGCACTTTAAATGGTTTGCTAAGACACCATATAAATCTTTTCTAATTATCGCTATGATATATGCTTGTCACAGCGCGTCATTAGGCACGCATTTATTACCCAATTACAACACCTGTTATTCAAGATTTATTTTCAATATACTCTGTTTATGTATTGAATCGGGTATATTGAGTTTGTATATAAATTTGTAACAATATCGAAACTAGAACATTTATTTGTTTAATGTCAAAATGTCTCAAAGTTGTTGCAAATGACTCCATGACAATTTTGAATTTTCCAATTCAGTTTTAATTTTTTCGAAAGTGAAAGATGTTCTCTAGCTAGGCGATAATGATATGAAGGTGCGTAGTTCTTTTGATATTTAAATATTGAATTCTATTAGACTTGATATGAGCATAAAACTACCTCTGATTTATTTGTGCTCTTGCCAACCAATTTCAGACGGCTAAATAAGTCTACAGTCGGTTACTGGCTAACTTTTATTATTTGATGAAACTGAAGTTCTATTCTGAAAGCAGCGCATTCCCATTTCGGGGAGACCCGTCCCTATGTCATTTGTTCACTTATTTTTCTATTGTTTATAGCTTCTGTTAGCCAATTACAGCAAACGCCTTGACAGTTAGACAACAAAACAATGGGATAGGGCACGTTGATATGCTGTAGATAAACAACCAGATGTCGTCTATTAGTCATCGGCTTCTTGGCCAAGTTCGGGGTTCGAGCCCCAAAAGATATTGCGGACCGGCTTTCAAGAGCCGCTAATTAACTGCTTTTGTGAATTTAAATAACAAATTAGCGAATGGAACTGCCATGCAGTCTGGCTAGGGTCTCTCGATTATAATGCAAAGCGCGTTCCGATAATGATATATATGCTTGCCATACGGGTGTCTGTCTGTGTGCGTGCACCTATACTTATCGTGTCTATTACCACGATTTTATACATCTGTTCAGGTGTCGGGGCTCTGCGCCATGTTGAGCACTTAACAACAAAAGGTCTACCGAAAAGCGGTTTTATTTTTTATTGTTGCTGCTTTGTAATTTCATTTTAAATTGGAATTTGCGTTAGTTGTTTTTGTTTTCGTTTGTTTGTATACATATTTTTGTTGGAGTATTGCGATATATATTTTTAAAGCGTGACCACATGAAGTTGTTTTGCTTTAAACGGGTTCCCAGCTGATGCCAATTGAAGTGCTGGCATTGTTAGCAATTGGGCGTGGCAGCCGCCCAATCTTTTGGCTCTTGTGCGTTTGAGCCGCGGGGCACGTTTGTGCGTGTTGCGCCAACTTTATATATACATATATGTATTTTGTTCGTTTGTGGGGCGGCGGTCGAGTTGATTAACCCCTGAACTCGTGCTGCGATTCGAGCAGTGGCTTTCGGCTCATTATGCGGTCGATGTATGTGGCAAATGGCAATTGGAATTTGATATATGCTCAATTTGAGTTGGATCGTTGATGTGCTAAATGATGATGATAGTATCAATGGCATAGCCTGGTGTGAGGATTGTTTGGAGCAGAACCAGCTGTTGGGTAATACCTTTGGCTGGTCAATTAAATCAAATGAACTAAGAAGTCTTTAACGATGAATACTTTTACTCTGCTAGAATTATTTGTGTAAAGCATCAATGCATACACGATTGACTTGAGACATGGCCCAAAGGACTATTACGATATATATATTTAACACATAAAGTTATCTTTGAATTACCTTGAATTTCATGAATTTACATAAGAAAAATCTTAGTTTTACTTGATGATTAAGGTATAAAAACCTTCAGCATTTCACATATTTGTCTTATAATTTAATTCTTATTTATATTCATCGACCTATTACAATATATTCTGCTTCAAGCTTACTGAAGCTGTATCACTTTGCTATTATTTTGCGATACACATTTTCTTCTATATTCCATTTAGATATTTCCCTACATAAATATATGATTTGTATTGTTATCAACTTCAATTTATCATATTATCTCTTCTGTTTCGAACAGGCTAAGGAGATCCTTGAACAAAACATCACTGTTAATATTACAATGAATTTTGTAAATTGCGTTTTCAATAGATTCAAATTAAAATTTATATAAATTGCTGAAATATTTTTACTTTTTATGCAAAAATTACCTCAATCCCTTTGTAATTTTATATTACTCAAATATGTATATCAATTAATTTACTGTATTTTGTTCGAATTGCAAATCTAAATTGATTGCAATATATGAAGACCCGGCCGCCAATTAGCTTGCAATCAAATTAAAATATGCGTTTGTTGTGGCTAAAGTTGCTTACATACATATGTATGTGTATATATTATTTTTGTTTTTGAGTATTCGCATAAATTGAAAAGTATTTTCCGCTCATTTATCGCTGCGAATTAATCTGCATATATTTAGCATGCATTACCCTCGATGAGGATGAGGTGCATCTATCCTGAATTGTTCGTCGCGCTGCTTGGCTGGCTTTGGTCTAACCAAATTTTATGCATCGCCACGCTGAAACAAAAACCGAACTGCAACCCTTTGTGTTTTTCACGGCTTTGCCTTTGGCTTTGACGTGTGTTAACTGAATTTTTTAACCGGCCGGCTTTGCAGGCCGCCAACCTGTGTCGAGGCTATCGGTGTGCAATCTGTTAACTGCATTCAGCCGTGACAATTGCCTGAGGTGAACCACTCTCCCTCTCTATCTCTCTGCGAGTCTGTGTGTGTGAAGGTGTGCAAGTGTATGTGTGCGCACATGAATATCAATACGAACTGCACTTTGCACAATTTACGTGCAGCTTCGTTGACGCTGTTTACGCTTCATAATTTGTTTGACATGCCCTGTACTTGCTATTGAGAAAAGGGGGTATAATAGACAGAGGCACTTATATATTATTTAGATTATAAGTATTTCTACAAAGTGTATACGTATGATTCTATCAATAACTAGCTTGTTGCTTAGGTCGTCAGTGGGAAAGGGGGTTTCTAATAGAATATATAATATAATAAAATAGATGGAAAAGTCCACTATTTTGATTCAGCCATAGAACAGTAGTTTCAGTATACACATACACACAGAAGATAAAGGGCAATTTGATGATACCTATGGTCTCTTTTAAAGTAAAAATTATGATCAAACTTATTTTCCAGCTTACTTCTAACTTATTTTTCTATTTCTCAAACATTCCTGATTCCTGGCCCTTCTCGAAACTAAAATATTGTATTAAGAGGAAGCACAACATATGTATATATAAACACATAGTTCTTATCAAATTTTTACACTAAACTGTCTCACACCACCTCGTAAATAACTACAGGGTATACGCCAGTCAATGAATCTCCTCTGAAGCAGTCTTACTCCATTCGTCATTTGCATTAGCTGACATAGTGTAGCCCTTTCGTTTACCTAAGGGGTAGCATATGTGAAAGGGGTACGACTTTTATTGCTGGGGATAATGAATGCGTACTATTTATTGCTTGCGGGATTAAGTTGACAGCCATTGTGAGGCATTTGATACGCTCAATGGAATCAAGCAACATTTTAGTTGAATTTTTATTTACAACGAATTCAAGTTTAGCACATTTTTAAAATAACTTCATTTGGCATCTTCTAAAGCTGGGCCGGCCGTTGTGGTGGGGATTGATGATCCACCTCTGTTGTAGATCAGCGGACCACCGCGTTGGCCAGAACTGTAATTGCCCTGAGCCACCGAGCTGCTCGATCCTTGGGCAGCGGCTAAGGCCAACAGGCCAATTAAAACAACAAATATTATAGCGAAACGCATATTTCTTGATTCAGCACACAGAGCGAAACTGACTGCTGATCTACGACTTCCTCTGCTACTTATACAGTAGGAAGTACCCAACAGATGCAAACGTCACAGTATTTATTTGTTTTCTTTTGCCGCAATTAATTATTTCTATTTCTATTTTTAATGATAAAAAACCCAACTGTTTACGTTTACTTTCAACAAAATACGTCATATGTCGAAAAGTATCCCATAACAACTTAATGGAGAAATAATCAAAACGTAACTAAGTGTATTTTATCGTATTTTTAAAATAAACACATTTACAGTACATTAAAAAGTATTTCAGATAATACCAAAAACTTGATAATTGAATGTGATGCTATGAATCCATTGCGAGCCCATAAATCAAACATAACAGATCTTGAGAACACATAATAAATATATATATTTGTCAAAATAATCGAATTCGTATTGTATTTTATGATTGATGTAAGGTCAACTAACATTTCCAATTGTACTACTTGAAGAGTTCACAAATAAATTCAATTTCAAATGTAATTCTTTTGTGGTATTTTCTATAACGTATTCAGCGAAAATCGAACATCGACTAGTTAAAAGTCTCTAAAGAACTAAACCAATTTTAATTGGAATAAGGAAAAGTTTTCTATTGCATTATGCCTGGAGTGCTGCCCTTCGTGTAACTTCTTTGGCGTACCACGGTACGTATGAGCTATTCGAATTTCGCTTGGAATTGAGCGCCGAGCGTTGCGCAAGTGCTCTGACTGGGTTGCTCAACTAACGGTACCTCAGAGAGTCATCCGCATATGGATAAATAAGCTCGCCAGAGAATTGTAACCGCACTCTCTTCGCATGGCCGCAAAGAGCAGGCCGCACAGTGGGCTAAAATCGAATGTTGTGTGGTGAAAAAGAGACATAGAGATAGCCTGGAAATCTTTTATTTCAATTGTGAAATTTTCGGTAATAATTATATTATAATGTGAGTATTACTATTCATTTAACAACATTTTTTTTAAAGATGTACAGCTTATAAAGGATTGAAATGAAAAAGTTTATACAGTATTTGTATTAGTATGTGGATCAAAGCTAAGATATTAAGCTTATGTCTGTCTTGATTGATAAATATATGTATATTTATAATATTTGCAGCGCCTTTGCATTCAGTTAAATTTCTTTGTTCCCACTGTGCTGCACGTTTGCCCTCAATATGCCAACAAGTTACATTCGGCTAGCAAGTTGTGATGACGTCATTCCACACAAAAGCTACCCACAAGCAGGCCATGCACACACACGCACACATACACACTCTTACAGCTATGTTAAGGGGCCCGAAAGTATGCCGCTTGCAACTAGCAACAGTTGCTGCTCGAACTTTTATCCGCTTTTCCTGGCGCTCGGCTCACGTTACCAGGCCCGAGAGAGCAATAGCGAGCCGTATGCCGAGCAACCGGAGCCGAGCGCACCGTTATCCGGGCCGTATAAAAAGCCAAGTGTGCTGGCTGCAGGACACAGTCAAACGAAAGACTTGCCTGCGAACGTGTCTGGGAAGCATCTGAAGCAGAGACCGCAAAGAGACCTTTGTCCGTTAGAGTTTGAAACAGTTTGAGAGTGACTGCGCACAGTGGTGCAAAGTGCTAATCCAATTCGATTTGTGACCGCGTGAAGTTCGCGTTCTGTGTAGAAGTCCGAAATCAAATTAAACAGCTTCGACTACGTTTTCAGCGAGCACAATGCAGGCCGTGCACACAAATGCACAGAGGAGCCAATGGCTACTGCTGCTCTTCGCCATGCTGCTGAATGCGGTAAGTACGAGGGGCGTGTCCGGAGACTGGGTGAGGGGTGTTTCGGAATTGCGTTGGGGATTATAATTTTTTTTTTTAAATTTTCGGCATTTTTCAACGCCTGCATCAAGCAGACGAGTTATCAAAGCCCACAGCTATTTACTTGCGGTTTCGCCTTTCGCCCATTCCCCAGAGTGTCCGGCCGGATAGGGGGACGTGCGTGCGCCGAGCCGTGAATTTCTGCGAAATCGCTTTTCGTATTTGGAAGTCGTCTTATTACACGCTTTATTTTCTACGTGGCGCATTACAATTTTTATTTAAACGGATTTGTGTCCAAACACAACAGATTTCAATTATATCCGACTGTCTGACAGTTGGACGGAAATGAAAAATATCTTATTCCCGTTATTAGAATAGCCAATACGTGGAAAAGAGCATAGGGTTTTTTAAAATGAATTATGCATAAATGAAATATTTAATTAAAAATTGATTTTATAAATAGAGCTCCAAAACTTGTAAATTCAATAGTGCCTATGCTGATGCTACAATATTTTAGATCCTTATATACTAAGAGAATTCGAGTATTTGGATATCGAATTAGCATTCAGCGTAAGCAACTAATTCATAAAGAACAAAGTTCGGAGATAAGGTATACTAAATTTAAGTCAATTACATTATAATATCTTATATATTTTTCTAGCTTAAAAAACTTATTAAGGTATAGATTGTTTAATATGCAGAAATTAAAAGGTCAACTATAAAATTAGCTGTAGATCTTCAAAGCAGTATAAGAAACAGTTTTCCTCAAGTTGTTTTGTCTCTACAGGCAATAGCGATTATGTGATACCAGCTATAGTAGATGAACGTATCAGGAGGTATATGGAAGGATGGCGTTCATAGAGAAATGTACAAAAAAATTGCTGATTCCTGTATATTATAAAAAATAATATTATATAATACATATTATTATAAAAAATATATAGGCATAGTATATTATAGAATAAAATAATTGAATTATCTTCGAAAGTGTGACAGCGTTAAGTACGTATGTATATGTATATGTATGTATTTAATTGGCTTATAATTCATCAATAGCATTTAACCAATTGTGTTATACGCTGATTAGCGGCTTATGAACAAATGAACGCCTAATATCTTGCAGAAAATAATGTTATTCGTTTTAGGAGAACTTAAAATTGTACGGGAAATGTATTGATTTTCAAAGTAGAATTACTTAAGCGAATATTTAAGGTTTCTTCGAATATATAGCTAAAGTAAATCAAGACAGCAAACATCGCAATTTTCGTTTGAATTATATTTTTCCCCCCACAAAATAGTTGCCATAGTCTTTGACCTTTTCTCAATTAATTTGAATTTAATGAAATCTCTGTGGGCTCTAACATATTTTAATAATTAATTCAAAATTAGTTTTGCTCATCCCAGAACATTTTGCGCCCACATTTCATATAATAAATTATGTTAAACATGTTCGTCGCTTCTGCCACCCACACAATCACTAAATGAGAGAGACATTTACTGTCCTGGCTGGCTCTCGGGCGCTGGTACAGTACGCACTGGTACAGAATGGACTTGTTCTGGCTAAATTGTCTGCAATATTTCAAATGCACTCTGCGAACGCCTTTGCTGTGCTGTAATTTATGTTGTAACCACGCCTGCCCATGGGGCAGCTGCAACAGTTGCCGCTGCGGCTGCCACAATGGGATACAGAAGGCATTTCCTGCCGAGCCCCGCCCCACTCTGTGCACATCCTTTCCGTCCAACCGTTTGGAGACACGTGCGACCTGCCCAAAGTGCAATATTTTTTCTCATCTTCATTTTCTGTTTCCTTTTGTCTGCTCGGGAGAGAGAGTGAGAGTGAGCGCTGAACATTGAACAATTTATATGGAATGTGGAACATTTTCTATTGTTGCCTGTTGACATTTGTTGACATTTGTCAACGTTTTGCCTGTGGTCGTGACCTGTCACCCTTTCCCTTTCGTTCAGGAGCCGTGTCGTGACAGCTGTCCGTCATAAATGCGTGACTGAGGACGAAACTGTTGTGGCAAATTATTTTCTAAATCCTAAACCAAGAGCAACATCTCTCTCTCTCTCTCTCTTTCTCTCTTTCTGTCTCTTTCCGCCTTTTTATATAACGTTACTGGAATTTTGTATTTAAAAATTTGGTCATTTTATCACGCATACGGCACGTTGTGCCTGCACTAATAAAGTGCTCAAAGAAATGGATTAGATTACGGAAAACTCTCCTGCAGCTTAGCTTGGCCGCACACAAGAAGGAATGTTGCAAAAGTTGTTAGCAACAGGCTCAAGTGACAGTTTGTCCTTGGCAGGAGGCGGGAGGCGGGGCAGCAAAAGGCGTGGTAAAGCAGCTTAATTGCGGTGGGTGCTTGAGCGTAATTAAAATCGTTGCAGAGCTTAAAACAAAGTGTTTTATAATCTACACAAGATTGTTGTCGTCTTAGCTGGGAGTAAATCGCTTAGAAATGTGAAAGAGTATTTAGGAGCATAACTTGAGTCAAGGCGAGAAGATCCTTAGATATCCAAGAGTTCTGACTGTGTGACTGACTGAGAGTAGAACTTCAAATGGTAGTAAGCTCTAGAAAAGGTTATGCAAAATTGAAGGCTTTTAGTACACAAATATAGTTATTTTTAATAAAATATTGAGTAAAATACATTTCAATTCATAATAATTATTATTATTTAATTATTTTTAGTTTATAAATAATTATTGGACATTTACTACAATAAATTTTATTCCTAAAATAAAATTAGTTACAACATTATGTTGAAGTTAATTAGTTTCACTGGTATCAAAATGTGACAAAATGTGTGCAAATAAGGTTTACGATTTTTTAAAGCATTTTCGAATCTACAATTAGATAATTATTAATACAATAAATTATTAATATTAATTATAATTTAGCCCTTTTCTCTTTTTGATAAAATTTAGTTCATGTTATTAAAAAACAAGTATATTATTTATTTAAATATAAATCTTTTCTAATATAATGGTAAGACGACTATTGACACTTCTTACAAATATATGTATTGATATCGAATATACATGTATACATAGATATATGTCTAGGCTGAAAGCAAGCGAAGTGAATAAAACTGGCAGCACTTGATACTCCTTTTAATTTGTTACCTTTTCGTTGACTAAAAAGCCTTCATTGTCCACTGCAGCATTCTGGATTCCAGTTCAATAATATTAATTTAATTTGCCATCATACAGAATTGACCTTTGCTTTTCACCAGCATCTTGCCATCATCTTGAGCTGTTTTAACCTTGAAATCGACTTTTGTTTTATTTACTTTAACAATTGAAATATATATTGTACGTTGAGTGCCTCAATCGCATCGCTTTCACATACATCAATGGGACTTCTATTATCCTGTTGAATGTGTCACTTGGAATCGCTGTCGCCGACAGCTGCAACGACGTCAAATGATTTGCAATACATGTATACATCTATCTATATATAAACGGATAGAGATATGTGTTGTGTGTGCAGCCGGACTGACAGTTATTAAAATTGCAGCTAAGACAACGGTGTAAGCACCCTCTCCTTAATCCAAATGCCAATCCCAAGCGCATTCGCAATCAGAATCGCATACAGAACGTCAGCGTTTTATTGACATGGGCGTCATTTCGGATGCTTTCGCGTGGGCGTGGAGGCGTAGGAGCGTACATGTAGAGGAGATATGCATCCCATAACGTCAGCACCGCTCAAAGCATGTGGGATTTGTGATTCAGCGCTGATTGGCATTCGTCCTCTGCATGCTCAGCATGCGAAATGCCAATCTAATTAGACAGCAGATCGATACATGTCTGTAGGTGTATGTGTGTGTGCGTGGGTGTGCTTCATAGAGTATTGTACTCGAATCCCAGTCCCTTTTATCTCTCATAATGCACATTATTATTTGGTGCGCCTCATTAAACTCTCAAGTTGCGCATACGCAGCGTGTGCCAGAGCAAATTTATTCAGCGCAAATAATCAAGGCTCAGGGAATTGTAAATTATGAGCGCATACATAAATTCATTATCTTGCATAAGCAACAAGCATTCACCCACACACACATACAAACACACACACACAGTGACTTTTACTGCTGTTATCTCGGTGCACATAAATAATGGGCGCAGAGCCGCGTTCAGCGAGTCACACGGAACTGCGGATTCTCACCTGAAGCGAGTGGAATTTCCTTTGCCTCTGTCCTTCTTTGAGTCAGCCCCAAGTCCTTAGCCAGACATTCGCCAAACAATTGTGACTCAAACTTGGGTGCTTTTGTCTGCAAAGTTTTTGTCCAAGTTTTTGGGTCGTCTTTCGCCCAGGAATCTTCGATAAATATTGACACTGATTAGGCAAAGATTGAGAATCAGCTTAAGTGCAATCAATATGATTGTTTCCGCTTAATTAACTAAAGAACAAGAGGTTGACTGAAGTTGGGGACTAATTTGTGTCAAGTACTCAGTATATCTTCATCTATAATTTGTGTTGGCTAATCAAACAACAATTGCTAACTTAGCACAAATATTGAATACAAAAAATATAAGGAATATGCTGAATATAAAGAATATTAGACCAGTTACTAAGCTATAATAAAGCAATTTACAGAAGTCATTCTCTTGCCAATAATTAATTAAACTGTCTAAATGCAATTCAATAAGTGGATTAAAATTTCATTTAATACTCAAGCGACCAGCAGGCAAAACTAAAATAAAAAGTTTTGCAACACCCTCAACTAAGGGATTTCAAATAGTTTTATACTTTCTGATTCTACTGCCGTGATAATACTTTAATCCAGCTTAAGCTTGGTTTTGCGCGAGATAGAAATATAAACAATTTCAATGCATTTGCCCTGCGGGACGGAAAAAATTGTTGAAAAGCTTTGCCTCCCTCATGCGACACGACAAAAAAAAAACTGCGAATAGTTTTTTCACCATTATTGCCTTCTCTTTTGTTCCCCTCTCTTTAATCAGCTGCAGTTCGCAGGAGTTT